GCGGTGAGGTTCATGACTCTTTCAGAGTCAGATTTACAAATATTATATTTTGACCTTAATCGAAATATTCGGCTATTTTCAAAAGCTTTTTTAGTCTGATGCTTCAATTCATTTTAAACAGACCGTTCAACAAAAGGATACCCAACATCTAAATATTGGATTGTTCTTTCTTAGTAAGATCCCATTTTCATTACAATTGTGGTCTTACCTTGACTTGAAGATGAAGTCCATGCTCTCCTTCTGGACAACAATCTCTATTAGTTTTTTGTAAAAGTCCTCCTTAACTTCCTGTAATTTCAAAAGTCTAGTTTGTTGTTTGTGTCTAGTCTCTGCGTAGAATAACAGTAGCAACAAGAACCTGTGGGCTCAGGTGCGCCCCCTTCAGTGCGGCAGAGGTTATGGCTGCCTCTCCTGCTGCTTTTTTCATTGCCGTTATATGATGAGACCATCGAGCCTAAATATCATATATACGTTAAATAAGTTATTTAGAGACTATGGATGGCCAGAATAAATGTAATAAAGGGATCTACAAACATTACATTGGTGACCTACAGTGAGATGTGTTGGGGCAGAATCTCTGCTCGATCCTCTATGAGTTTGTTTTAAAAGAAGGAAAAGTCAAAGCAGCCAGGATAAGGGTTAAACAATAATCTGCTTTAATGGTAGNCTTTTGAAACTACAGGAAGTTAAGGAGGACTTTTACAAAAAACTAATAGACTTACCTTGACTTGAAGATGAAGTCCATGCTCTCCTTCTGGACAACAATCTCTATTAGTTTTTTGTAAAAGTCCTCCTTAACTTCCTGTAGTTTCAAAAGTCTAGTTTGTTGTTTGTGTCTACCGTCTCTGCGTAGAATAACAGTCTGAGACTGCCAAGGCACACNTCAGTGACGTGCGGTGAGGTTCATGACTCTTTCAGAGTCAGATTTACAAAAAAAGCTTTTGAAAATAGCCGAATATTTCGATTAAGGTCAAAATATAATATTTGTAAATCTGACTCTGAAAGAGTCATGAACCTCACCGCACGTCACTGAACCAGACCTAATATGAGATTGACAGAATCACAAAGTTACACAGGTGAATGAACCTGAAAATATATTTAGGATAAATGTGTAAAAGGGCTTAAGATTACAGTATCAAATGTCATTAAAGTCATGAAGAATTGTGCTCACCAGTACTTCACCCTGAGGAGACACTGGTGCTGTCACACCTCACAGTGAGATTTATCGGCAGCAATATGAGAGGCTGTATGATTCCCTCATACCTCTCTCCTCACTCCGGGGGTCATTGACAATGACTTATGCGAGAGGAGAAAGAAGTGTCATAGGGAAAATATGTGTGTCAGCTCACATCAGGTCTGTTCTGCTCCCATGGAACCCAATCACATTTGAAAAAGTAAGAAATCCCTGACAGTGGAGCTATGATACCTCCAAATCCTGCAGGGCTACAGTAAATAAATGATGGTAGAAGTCTAGGTATGTCATTTAGACCATAACATGTATATGGGGTATAGTTACGTATGTAGATGTGGAGTATAGTATATCATACAGATTTTCGGTTATTTACACAAGCAGTAATTGCATAAAACTGTGCACATCACAGAGATATGGCTGTGAATGGTAATAATAGAATTGTATATTTTTCTCAGGCATTTTTCAACAGCTCTGACATTAGAAGCATAATGTAGCCTACTCAGTTGACCTTACCCAGTTGTTACAATTATCATGCTTTCCATACGGCACACAATGCAGTTTACAATAATAATGGTAGCATAGACCTGTTAATATTGAAAGTTATTGTCCTTGATTTGAGAAAAACTTAGATAAAGGCAGACTCCTCATTTCCAGCCGGCCTCAATTTGTCTGGCTGTATGTAAACTGTTACTATTGTTAGAAATTAAAATCAATGTTTTAATGGGGAAATGTAGTTTAAACATGCCGTCAGTTTTAATGCAGTTTTACACTGAAAAACCAGAAATTCTTGTGCACAACCAGCTGTTAAGCTTTATTCTGAAACTCTTTCATCTCCGGTTGGCAGTTAGCATGTGGTAAATTTACAATTTCCAAAAGAGGTGAATTTAGTAGCGAAATGATATGGAGTGGTGCAAACCGAAGCCTACTGATTTAACACTACAACTATAGATGTCGAGATACTACCATGCTGAATATTAAATGAAGGTACAGTTTATTTGAATACATTATTGTTTACAGACGAGAGTAGCATGTGACAACATCCGGAATGACCGGAAACCAAACGAGCCGAGAAGTATTTTTTAGAGTATTGATTACAGCGTTTAGAATGTGTTACATGAAAAGTGATGAAAGAGAATATGAGGAGAAAAGGCGTGTTAAGCATATATTGAATGTGAAAAGAACCAATCCTCTGTTTAAATGCAACAACGGACATTGGAGACGAGGCGAGCCGGCTGGCGGGGAGGAGCCAGCAGAGGATATATAACAGCACCGGACGAGGGATCGGNTACTGACGTAGTGAGACGTGCGACAGCGCCCTCTTGTGTTTCAGCGTTGCATTGTCACAGACACAAGCTCGCGGGCCACATTAAATTGATGACCAGGATTGACAGGAGGGCCAGATTCAATATTGCAGAGGGCCATGTTTGGCCCGCGGGCCTTGTTATTGACACATGTGTTCTAGAGTATTGATTACAGCGTTTAGAATGTGTTACATGAAAAGTGATGAAAGAGAATATGAGGAGAAAAGGCGTGTTAAGCATATATTGAATGTGAAAAGAACCAATCCTCTGTTTAAATGCAACAACGGGCATTGGAGACGAGGCGAGCCGGCTGGCGGGGAGGAGCCAGCAGAGGATATTAACAGCACCGGACGAGGGATCGGCCTCTTCTCTTCCCTAACGAGGAGCGGATCACAGCTGTTTGTCTGACTGAACAATATCATGCTTGTGACCAACCCGCGCCTTTTTTAATTAAAGTACCCAATTGAACTTTCACAGAGACTCCATTTATTCTCCTTTTAAAGCTTCTCTCCTGGACGGGAGAATAACGAACACAGTTTACACTCATTGTAGTTAGCTGGTTAATTCAGCTAATGCTAGCAGCATGAGTTGGTTGAAAAAACTACAGCCGACCTTTAAATGTTTTCCAGCTGGAGGCTTTCCTTTTTCGCACTCTTTCATTCTCCTTCATTGTAGAGCATGTGATAAAGAATGTTCCTTGCTTCATGTCAGAAGATGTAATTTTGGACATATATCATGTGAGATGGCAGATGTAAGTGGAAATAAAAATGGTGGCCTTGTGATTCCAATGTGCCTTATATCGATCTCTCAGTATGAGGATATCCAGACATGCTATGCTGGTTTACCCCACTGTGTGTAACAGACCGTGACAGGAATATTATTGCTGCGTACAGACATCCAGTTTACCACTTTATATGCCAATGTACACATTAGTATTGTGGTTATGCTCACCTTGTAGCGTTGACCGCTGACTGCACTAGAGATCTGCAGTGCATCTAAAAAGCCATGTGTGTATCTACGTGGCTTTTCCATTATTTCAAAGGCTATTATCGTTGGTATTTCGCAGCATGATAGTCTGTTTGTGTTGACAAAGGAAAATGGAATGGTACAATTTCTGGAGAAAACATAGCTCACATCAGTGGGGGGGTGACTTTGGATCAGCTTATGTATTGTTTTGGCGGAAAATGCAAAAAATGACCTTAACGTGATCTTTGTGCACTTTGCATTTATATTTGTTGCCCTAACAACACTGCTGACATGGACAGTAATAGGCAATGATGATGTTATCTTTCAATGTTTGTCTAAAAGCTTTTACAATGTTCACAACACAACCTTTGAAACCAATCCACCACTTTGGTCCTCTATAAATGCATCCAGCACAAGAAAGCTACCCAGACACTAGGCCAGAGATAAATCCTACTCATTTCCTGTGTTGACAGTCTGAGGCTGCTTCCTTGACTCGGTAAAATTAACGGTCCAGAACGTTATTTTCCCATCCAATATGCTGCCATCAATCATTCTGTGTGCCTTCATCACTTTCGAAAATGATGTGTCCCTGTTTTCTACAAAGGCAAAGCAGCCACTTTAGTCTCTAGGAATTGGATTGATGACACCATGTAAGAGTTTGAAGGTAAAATGAGCGGGAAGTTAAACTTTGTGATGAGTTCTAATTTCCGCCCACACATTGATAAAGATGAAATACAGAAAACAGTTTTCTGGTATAAGTTAAGATGCTTTGATACGAGTTACCAGGATAAATGTATCTCAAAAATAAACTTGCTGGAGCTGACCTGGTGAGAGAGGTCACATCTACAGGTTCCCTCTGATCAACACAATGACATGAGTTAAGTGCAAGAAAATGAAAAGGACTGCAGCTAAAAGCTTTCTTTGACACGCAAGCTTATTAACAAAATACCTTAACGTTGACCTAATCAAATTGAAACTTGAACTTGTATGGAGAGTGCATACATCATACATCATCTGTGAAGTAAAGTATAAATGGTTTTGCAAAACAGAATCTTGGCAAAAGACTCCAAAAGCAGCTCATCTCTCAAAAGATTGAAATGAGACTTAATAGGCAAACACCAATGTATTAATTCTTCAAGCATGCTTTTACACAATTGTTATTGCAATATGCAACAAATACTGGTTCAGTTAAATACTGTATTACCAGGATTTGCACTAGTAAATAAACAGTCAAGATGATATAGTTTGAATCAAGTGTATTTATCATAGAATGACAACTAGCCTTACGTAGGTTGATAGACAGAGGAGGGGCGTATCATAACTGTAGGCTATGACTACTCCTGCGTGAAGTACGGAGTTTCATTGCAAGCGAAATTGCAAGTGCCAGGGAACAGAAGTAAATGACATCAAGGAGGAGGGTATGGTAAGGGAGCATGTAAAGCACATCCTCATTTCCCTCATAGGCTGATGCTCTCTCACTGCGATCACAGAACAGCAAGAGTTGATGGGAGAGTGGATGGGCGGGGGAATGTGATTTGAGGGCATCAAGAAGCGGAACTGACAGAGACGGATTCACTGTGGCCGAAGCATGGAATTGCTTTTCCTTTCCCCTGGAACTGAGCTGGAAGTGCCTGCGGCTGCAAACAATCTCTAAGCAGCAGCTTTCACAAAGCCCAAGAGCCAGAACCATGAAAGCTCAGAGGCAGGTGAGAAAACGCTGAAGTGTTTAGAACAAGAAAAAACCCAGGTGGTGAGGAATAACTGAAAATTAGCTAGCTTAGAAACTGTTGCGTCAGACTTAACACAATCACTCTATCAGTTGAGAAGTCTGCATGTGTAGAAGCTTGACAATTACTTTACATGCGTAAGTTCCTCCATGTCTGCGAGCTCAAATCACTGTTATTAGGGGGGGGTGAATGCAACCGAGGGTTCATGTGTGTCAGGCTGTCATCAAGTTGCACACCTAATTACGCAGGTGCTACAGAACTCCAGGACGAAAACAAAAACTAAAGGAAGTTTCTCTTTCTAAGTTTGAGACAGGAATGGAGGTGTATAGTTCAATTTACACCTTCACCCAAAGGAGTTTCAAATCAGACAGAAAGAAAGTCAATTGTCAGATACATTTCAATTTGCAGCGACATACAAAGGGCCTCATGCAAGAACATACTTTGCAAAAAAACCCTGATTTCTTTTTTGATGAATCCCGGAATTAACGAGTAACAACAAAATGTGTTATTGGTTTATAAATAATTATTAAGAGCAAAAATAGGATTTATTTCCCTGGATGAAGCCCAGTCACTACTATCAACATAATTATACAGATAGTAAATTAACATCCCATCAATGCACTCCACGCCCGGGTGAGCTACGAGTGAGGGATCTTACAATGCAAAACATCATTACAACATATATTAATTGAAAAAGACTGTCATTGGTATTCAATGTGACGAACAGCACATATTAATGGTCCAAACTCTTGGATTTAACATTTGTTCTTTGGAAATCAGACGAGATCCCCTGTTGTTTCACCCCTAGTGGTCCATGTCTGTGAGGAGACGGGGCATTGTCAGGCTCAGAGAACATAACCAGATATTTATATTCAAAATGAATTGTTCTTTTTCTGTCAATCTAGTGCACAGTCCCACACATTTGACAAGGTCAAGGCAGGTTCGGGTAACTGATACACGGTCTGTCTGTACCTCTGAACATGTCATAGACATTTAGCCGACATAAACTGAACCGAATTCGCCCAGAGAGGGAGCTGAGGACAGGCATTCATGTGAGAGAAAGAGGGAGAGACACACAGGGAGCATCCTGTGCCTCTGCCTCTG